TTGCTTCAGCACGGAAGATGCTAAGAGACGTGCTAAATTGAAAATGTGCACAGAACCCCATTCCGACACACATTTTTGCTTCAGCACGGAAGATGCTAAGAGACGTGCTAAACTGAAAATGTGCACAGAACCCCATTCCGACACACATTTTTGCTTAAGCACGGAAGATGCCAAGAGACGTGCTAACTTGAAAATGTGCACAGAACCCCATTCCGACACACCTTTTTGCTTCAGCACGGAAGATGATAAGAGACGTGTTAACTTGAAAATGTGCACAGAACCCCATTCCGACACACATTTTTGCTTCAGCACGGAAGATGCTAAGAGACGTGCTAACTTGAAAATGTGCACAGAACCCCATTCCGACACACATTTTTGCTTCAGCAGGAAGATGCTAAGAGACGTGCTAACTTGAAAATGTGAACAGAACCCCATTCGGACCGACATTTTTTGCTTCAGCACGGAAGATGCTAAGAGACGTGCTAATTGAAAATTGCACAAACCCCATTCCGACACCAATTTTTTGCTTCAGCACGGAAGATGCTAAGAGACGTGCTAACTTGAAAATGTGCACAGAACCCCATTCCGACACACATTTTTGCTTCAGCACGGAAGATGCTAAGAGACGTGCTAACTTGAAAATGTGCACAGAACGCCATTCCGACACACTTTTTTGCTTCAGCACGGAAGATGCTAAGAGACGTGCTAACTTGAAAATGTGCACAGAACCCCATTCCGACACACATTTTTGCTTCAGCACGGAAGATGCTAAGAGACGTGCTAACTTGAAAATGTGCACAGAACCCCATTCGAACACAAATTTTTGCTTAAGCACGGAAATGCGAAGAGGGAACGTTCTAACTTGAAAATGTGCACAGTAACCCCCCATTCCGACACAAATTTTTGCTTACAGCACGGAAGATGCTAAGAGGAGTGATAACTTGAACTGTGCGCAGAAACAGAACAGGAACCCCCATCCTACACCACATTTTTGCTTCAGACGGAAGCGATGCTAAGAGACGTGCTAACTTGAACTGTGCACGAAACCCCATCCGGACACACATTTGTTTGCTTCAGCACGGAAGAGCTAGAGACGTGACAAAAACTTGAAATGTAACCAGAACCCATTCGAACACACATTTTTGGCTTCAGCACGGAGAGGATAAGAGAGGTGTAAACGTGAAAATGTGCACAGAACCCCACATTCCGACACACATTTTTTTTGCTTAAGCACGGAAATGCTAAGAGGCGTGCTAACTTGAAAAAAAAATGTGCACAGACCCATTCCGACACACATTTTTGCTTCAGCACGGAAGATGCTAAGAGACGTGCTAACTTGAAAATGTGCACAAAACCCCATTCCGACACACATTTTTGATTAAGCACGGAAGATGCTAAGAGACGTGCTAACTTGAAAATGTGCACAGAACCCCATTCCGACACACAGTTTTGCTTCAGCACGGAAGATGCTAAGAGACGTGTTAACTTGAAAATGTGCACAGAACCCCATTCCGACACACATTTTTGCTTCAGCACGGAAGATGTAAGAGACGTGCTAACTTGAAAATGTGCACAAAACCCCATTCCGACACACATTTTTGCTTCAGCACGGAAGATGCTAAGAGACGTGCTAACTTGAAAATGTGCACAGAACCCCATTCCGACACACCTTTTTGCTTCCGCCCGGAAGATGCTAAGAGACGTGCTAACGTGAAACTGTGCACAGAAAAAAAACCCACATTTCCGACACACATTTTTGCCAGCAGGAAGATGCTAAAGAGACGTGTAACTGAAAATGTGCACAGAACCATTCCGAGACACATTTTTGTTTCAGCACGGAAGATGCTAAGAGACGTGCTAACTTGAAAATGTGCACAGAACCCCATTCCGACACACATTTTTGCTTCAGCACGGAAGATGCTAAGAGACGTGCTAACTTGGAAATGTGCACAGAACCCCATTACGACACACATTTTTGCTTAAGCACGGAAGATGCCAAGAGACGTGCTAACTTGAAAATGTGCACAGAACCCCATTCCGACAACCATTTTGCTTAAGCACGGAAGATGCTAAGAGACGTGCTAACTTGAAAATGTGCACAGAACCCCATTCCGACACACATTTTTGCTTCAGCACGGAAGATGCTAAGAGACGTGCTAAGTTCAAAAGGGGCACAGAACCCCATTCCGACACCACATTTTTGCTTCAGCACGGAAGATGCTAAGGAGACGTGCTAAAACTTAACATGTGCCACAGAAACCCATTCCGGACACCCAAATGTGTGCGAAGCACGGAAGATGCTAAGAACGTCGCTAACTTGAAAATGTGCCAGAACCCAATTCGAACACATTTTTTGCTCTTAAGCACAGGCAGATGTAAGAGACGTGCTAACTTGAAATGTGCACAGAAACCCCATTCCGACAAACATTTTTGCGCAGCCGAAGATGCTAAAGAGAGTGTTAACTGAAAAGTGCACAGAACCCCATTCCGACACACATTTTTGCTTCAGCACGGAAGATGCTAAGAAACGTGCGAACTTGAAAATGTGCACAAAACCCCATTCCGACACACATTTTTGCTTCAGCACGGAAGATGCCAAGAGACGTGCTAACTTGAAAATGTGCACAGAACCCCATTCCGACACACATTTTTGCTTCAGCACGGAGATGCTAAGAGACGTGCTAACTTGAAAATGTGCACAAAACCCATTCCGACACACATTTTTGCTTCAGCACGGAAGATGCTAAGAGACGTGCTAACTTGAAAATGTGCACAGAACCCCATTCCGACACACATTTTTGCTTCAGCACGGAAGATGCTAAGAGACGTGCTAACCCAAAGAATCTTCTTAGGCTGTTAACAGACTATATATCCTAAAATAGACTATTAGTCTATTATAAGATATATAGTCAAAAATAGACTATGATATAGTCTATTTTAAATAGACTATTATAGTCTATTTTAAACTATTGAATAGTCTATTTTAAACTATTACATAGGCTATTTTAGCCCTTGATTTTCCTCCAGGAGCTCTTGCTTCCTTGAATTCTTTTCAGGAGCTTATGCTTCCTGACTTAAATCTTGGACTGGATGTTTCAGGAGCTTAAGGCTTCCTGACTTAAATCTTGGACTGGATGCTTCAGGAGCTTCTGCTTCCTAAGGCGGCTTCTGGCTTATAATTTGCCCAAAACCCCAGATGCAGCACTCCTTTTACTCGCAGTCTCATCCCATGGCTTCCTTTCGAGTGGACTTCACTCTCAGTGAAACTTTTCATCCCAGAGCTGGCTGGCTTTCGAGTGGGCTTTGCGAGCCCACTCTACGGCCTTCTCTTTGCCCAAGCCGTGGCCAAGAGCAAGCCTCTTCGCCTTGGCGTAAAATCGAGATGTGTAGTGGTTCCTACTGTCCGTGCTTTTAAACACGGAGTCAGAGATAATAGTGCTGATCGCCTCCTGGTAGAGCTCCTTCTCCTCGCGGCCGGGCACAGGGGCAGGGTCAACAGACTCCTTCTGCTTCTTGGCAGCTGTGCCGGCTTCTGGATCTTTGGCAGCAGGCCGCTTCTTCGGCGAGGCTTCTGGAGCTTTGCTCGCAGGCCGTTTCTGGACAGCCGCCTCCTTCTGCTTCTTGGTGAGGGGCTTGGCCGGAGAGGCTGCCCAGGCATTCTGCAAAGCTTGCTGTGTCGCCCTTTGCATGAAGTCCATGCTTCCAGATGCCCTTGGCATGCAGCCCATGCTGCCAGAAGCGGGGGTATGGGACACCGGAGGAGTGACAGGTGCAGGTACGACTGCTGCTGCAGGCTCCGTCTCGGCATCCTTCGCTGGCCCGTCCTGGAGTGCAAGTACACCTTTCAGCGGCACTGTCCCCGATGGCTGCACCATGTCCTCCATTTTGAACTTCGGGTTGATCTGCAAGCAGAGGGCCTGCACCTGTTGAAGTGCCTGCTTGTCGAGTTTCTTGGGCATCTTTTCCTTGCCGGTGGCAACATCCCGAATCTTGCCGGCCAGCATTCTGAATCTCAGGTTGAAGTACTGCAGCGACGAGTCTTCCCAGCCTGCAGGGCTTTGAATTTATGGGTTTAGGGGCCGGGTTAGGCACTAGAGTCTTAGGATCCTTAGGCTATACCTATCATGAGATTATAAGCGCCCCCAGCCTGGCAACTTCTGCTGTGGAGCCTGTAGTACCAGGATGTCCCTCTTGAACAGGCCGAGCAAAGCAGTCTGGAGCAAGGCATGGGGTATCAAGCCATTGGTGCAGATCTCGAAGATACGGTTCAAGATCGGAGCGAGGAACACGACCTCCTGGATGTGTTTGCCCAGGGCCGTCTTCCATGAGCATTCATCCAGTCCTCTGCACAGCATGCCGAGTGTGTTGTGGCCCATCTGCCGCAACCCTTTTTCGACGGCATTTTCAAGGCCAGCTGCAGTCACTGACGGCAGCACCTTCAGCCGCTCGCCAACTGTCGGCAGTGCCATGGCAGGAGTCCTACAGCTGCAAACTAAAAAAACTGCACGGGAAAAACATACAATATATATACAACAACCATGCATGCGGGCACATCCTATGGTGTCACCGGATGCCTATAGGAGCTTCTAAGCTACCTTTTTTTTTAGGAGCTGGCGGCTTCCTCGCACATGGGTGGGACCGCCACGTCTTCACGAGGCGGTCCCGTGCGGATCCAGGACTGACACATCCTGGATTTCTTGGTTGCCTGGCTTCCTGGACCCCATTGGCTTGCGGGGTTCATGGACGCCTTTCTGAGTATATGGTGCATTTGTGCCTTCTGTGCCTTTTCCTTGGTTATTGCATTTCTAAAGCGATCGAGTTGGCAGCTTCCTCGCCCTTGGCCTATCTTAATATCCCTCAGGAGCCTTTGGCTTCCTTCACTACAGCTCCTATAGATTCATGCACTCCTTTTTCCCTCGCAGCGACTTCGATCCCTAGCATATATACACATGTGTCATGACACGTGCATTAAATTATAGCATGGAGCCACTACATGGCACTCATGTCCCGCCGTTTTTGCCGGCAGCCAGCTGCTGTAGCTTGAGGCCGAAGCGGAGGCAAGTCAACAGCCTCAGGGTTCGACGGGCAACACAGGCTTCTTTTTCTCAAGCTCTTTTGGAAACGAACCAGCTGTTGGGCAACACCTCGTTGAGGAAGGCGGTAGAAAGCCACGGGAAGTTCACGTGTTGGTAGCCCACCCACCGTTCCCTTTTGCACTTGCGAGCCTCTGGGTCGAGCTCCTCCTCTCGGGCTTTCTGCAGAGCTGCCTCCACGAGGTCCTTGCCCTCAACGGCTTGGTCGCCCTCGTCTTTCTGCAGAGCTGCCTCCACGAGGTCCTTGACCTCAACGGCTTGCTCGGCCTCGTCTGCCATGGCTGTACTACGGAGGCGAGCGGCGAGCTTGAGCTGAAAAACGGCTGCAGCAGATACGACATGCCCTGAAGATCCTACAAGGAGGCCGAGGCTTAGATTGCTTCAGAACTGCAGGCGCTCAAAATCTCAGAGGAGCCCGAGGCTTCCTTCAGCAATTAAGGAACGAGGAGCCCGAGGCTTCCTTCAGCAATTAAGGAACGGTCCCATTTTTTCTTCTCAGAGCGGCGGTCCAGGCTGTGCAAGGATCTCTGCCAGTTCGATTGACATGGCATCTGTGTACTGCCGCATGAAACGATCCAACGAAGTCAGCATCGTCCGGCTCTTGGTACACATCTTGAGGAGACCCTTGCATTTGGACATATAATCCTCGCCGGAGTATGTCCAAGTCAGCTTGGGGGAAAGATGCCTCGCCAGCTGCAGCCCGTGCAGAAACCAGTGTGTCTTGAATGTCAACTGGAAGGCCAGATGGCCCTGCTCCAGAAAGGACTTATTCAAAATCGTCATGCACTGGAAGAGACAAACGGCCGTGAGCATCATCCGATCCGCCACCTCTTTCGAGGGCTTCCAGTCTTCGATGCCATCTGCCATTTGGTCCAAATCGCGGCTGAAACTCAAAGCCAGGGCAATCTGTTGGTGCTCCTCGTTGTCCTGTTGCAGGTGCTGTTGGCAGATGCTCGCCAAAGCTGCAATAACGCCCTTAGTTTCTGCTGCCTTGGCCTTCAAGCGAGGGTATCCCTTTCTGCAGTGAATATCCTGTGGGTCAGCCAGGACCATGGTCTGAGTGATGTAGTTGATGCCATTGCCCTTGTGCTGCCGCCAGTAGTCCTGCAGGGGAGCTGAAGCTGCCTACACACTACAACTTTTATATACCATGTCTCACAACAACAGGAGCTTAAGCTGCCTATACCATATCTGAAAACAGCAGGAGCTTAAGCTGCCTATACATATCTGAAAACAGGAGGAGCTTAAGCT